TATATATAATTAATATTATTATTATACTATATATATATATATATATATATATATATATATATATATATATATATGTGTGTGTGTGTGTGTGTGTGTGTGTGTGTGTGTGTGTGTGTATATATTCAATTTAATTTGAGAATATATTTATATATAAATGTATATATAAATAATATAAATGTGCATTCTTATTGAAATTTCTTTTATAAATCTCATATCAATTTAAAATAAATAATAATTTCTTACTTAGGATCTGTGATTTCGGATCTTTCATATATCTCCAAGATTTTGCCATCAGCCAGTGTCGTTATATATTGAATACCGTAATCAATAAGATCAATCACCGTGTCGTCTATCGTTTGTGCACTCTTGCAATGGAATAATATATTTTCTAACAACGAAACTACAATAACTTCATGATACAGTATGCTAAATAACATAAACGTGTTTGTTGGCTCGCCATTGAGATTAATCAAAAGTGGAAACACCTTATGTTTCCATATATTGATTTGTATAGCTTCATGTACAAGAATAGGAACCTAAAACGATTAAAACAACTGACATAAAAAAATGATTCGCTTAACTATAATTCTTTGTTTATACAGAAAAAATATCGCTTAAAGAAGGACAAACTTAGCATTGATAATTGTAATGCTATTTATTATTTTTGTTTTAAAATTTTAGATATTACATTTATAACATAACATTTACAAAAATATATATAAGATCCCGCTAAAAAAATTCTATTGAAATAACATTAATAGTTTTTTATAAAACAAATTCATAATTTCTCTTCTTTTAGATGTATGTCTTTCTTTAAGCTAAAAAAATATAGTTTTGCGCGATTATCTTGTTTATGATATTTATTCTACATGTTTTTTTGCTAACACTACACTACTGTTCAAGTCGCTCTACTAATAATATTTCATTAAATCTTTTAACAATTTACTTTCTTTAATGAGATAAACCATTCCGTAACGCTCTCCTCCCGCAGATTTGTTATTTCAAGTACGCTCTGCTGATTTAATAACGCCAGTTTCTTATGGAAATCTAACCAACTAAAAAAAACTTGTGTTTTTACATTGATTTTTGAAATACTCTGAAAAAAAATATATGATAATTTACCTTTTTGTACCAATATTTTCGAGATCAGAAATGTTTAAACTTTGCATGTAAGCCTCGATTTCCCATGGCGGTATTATGTATTCCATCTGATCTGCCATTCTTTTCAGAATTTTTAAATCGATTTCTAACACTATAAATATAGAGAATCAGGCTTTGATTCTCTTTAACTATAATCATCATTCACCAACAGCATTTCTTGTAGCCCTGACGACAAGTATGTTTGATCAATAAATACGTGATATATATTAGCGAATTATTATCTAAAGATTGTAATTTCAATAAATTTTTTATAAATAGTTTATAAAAATTTATAAATAACTCAAAATTGTTTGTGAAGTTGAAATGTTTTGAAGCAAATGGATTCAATTACATAATAAATATGCAATATCTAAAAACCTATAATTTTTAATAAAGCTTATTATTTGTTTTAACGTATGTAAATATCATATGTCGTGAAGGTATATCGAATGTTTAATCTTCAGGTTATTTTTCGTTTATATTTCAAATGAACATCTAATTTTTATTTCGAATTAAATTTTTAAACCTTGAAAAAGATTTAATAAAATTATCAATAACTATGTAGAATAACATTTATTAATTACATATTGTTAATATATCATAATATATTTTCATATTATCATTTTAAATGTTATAAACTATTTTAAAAATAAATATTGATTTAGAAGAATTAAAATTTCTATAAGTTGATTGAAATAAAAGATTTTTGAATTTTGACGAAAACTCCCAACCAATCAGTTTAATCGATATTATGTTGTGCGGTTAGAGACATAGTTAATTGAGAGCGTCCCAGATGCGCACATTTTCAATCGGACACATCACTCACAGCCAATGCCTAGGAATTTTCTAGTGAGCCACCTATCAAAAATTTTTTTATTTAATCGATCAATCGGCAATGTATCCGATTGGACTTCACCCTGTTGACTAATTAAATATAAAATTATCTGATTGGTGGTCCAGTGGAAAATTCCTAAGTATCGGCCGATATGGATGGACATGTCCAACTACCAACATGGTCAAATGAAACATTCATTACCCATATATACATCAAATTAATTCAGCGATTAAAGAACAAACCTCTAATGGTACATGAACATATGATACGAGCTGGGTATATCCACCTGCCCAATCGATTATTAACCTTTTCAAACAAAAATCTCTACACGGACTTGTACATGTCCAGGATTTCACCGGATGACGTTCGCTCGCCGTCATTTCTTCACAATCATGCAACGCACTACGTAGTCAACGATTCTCCGCGATGTGAACATCACATTCGTGCATTCTCGTGGGATAAATTTGTAAAATAATGGCTAGAGAGAGCAAGGAGTCCGTCGCGGATCCTTGCCCTGTCAAGCCCCGCAGGATTAGTCCGCAGAACGTGGTCCTGCGGCTTCGACGTAGGGAAACGATGGGATGCTCCTTTCCGGGGACACATGTACATTGCGCGAGACAATTCTACCAAAATGTGTTTCCCAATTTTACTGTGATGAACGTAGAGAAACCACCCTGTTTCCTTCGCAAATTCAGCCCGGACGGGAGGTACTTAGTGGCGTTCAGCGCGGATCAAACGTCGATCGAGGTGTATGAATACCGCGGGGCGTCGGCTGCCGCAGACTTGTTGGCTGACTGCGAAGGCGAGTACACCGGCCACAAGAACGACGACTGTAGCTTTCACATACGAAGTAATATCTTCGCGCGATTTTTCAAGGTACTGGATACTAACCGACTTCGCGCGGCGTACGCCTTTACTATGCAGATTGTAAAAATTTAAGAAAAAATGAGAGAGAGAGAGAGGGAGAAAGAGAAAGACTAAACAAAAGAACCACTGAAATCGGTGTACCAGCTCTGAAACATCTTTGTAGGTGAAGTGGATTATAAATGTAGTAGAAAGCAACCAGCAATTGAACAGAGAATGCAGTCTTTTCACAGACGACGCTCGGTATGTAATCGTAGGTTCAGCCGCTCACATCCCTGAGGAGTTGAGACCACACTTTTATCAGGTGGCAAAAGATTTCTCACTTAGAAACTTAATATTCTGTATTCTGAAATAGAATTTGATGAAATCTTATTTTTTTGTAGATTTACTCCAATAATGAGGCACTAACTCCAAATCCTAGATCTCCACTTGAGGATTACAGTTTACATCTAGTAGATTTACGAGGTGGAAAGTTATGTGACACTAGGCATTTTAAAGTGGACAAAATCTATTTGTCACATAATCAAGGTAAATGATATTTTGACATTCAAACTACAAATTATTGCTTATTATAACTAGTACTGGATAAATCTAGCTGAAAAGAGAAAAAGTACAAGTTTATATCATACTAGCAGTCTTGTTTGTACAATACCAAATCATAGATATGTTTCATATTCTTGATGGCATGTTTATAAATGTCAGGACAATAGAAAGATATTATAAGGATTATTTTACCAAATTAAAATTATTAACATCTGGTAGATGTAAATACAGTGCTATGTGAGTAATATAAATGATATATGTTAGGTTTTGTATGGAAGATGATTGCACATTTAGTAAAAATATTTTTAATATTGACTGTCTCTTTTAAAACAAGAAGACTTTCATTTTTAACAGTCTTAACAATTAAGTAGTTAAAAACAAATTTCAGAATAAACTTGTACTTGTTTTCTTTCCCATAGGTCTGTATTTGTATAAGGATATACTAGCAGTCTTGTCTGTACAACACCAAACCATACATATTTTTCAAATTCTGGATGGCATGTTTATAAATGTCAGGACAATAGGAAGGTATTATAAGGATTATTTTATCAAGTTAAAATTATTAACAATTTGGTAAATATAAATACAATGCTATGTGAGTAATATAAATGATGTATGTTAGGTTTTGTATGGAAGATGATGCATATTTAGTTACAAGTGCTTTTCCTGGGATTAATTGTCGGCCGTTTAAGGATGTTGCAATAAATAGTTTAAAACATAGGTTATTGGTATATTTATATAAAAGAGCAGAATACATAAGCTATATGACGAAAGATCCATATGAATTAAGAAGATTCTTTCAATATTTTGATCAGGTATTATTTGGAGATTTTATTTTTTATTTTAATTTTTATATTTACAATTGTCAATAGAAGAGTTAGCCAAATAGTTAATTAAATAAAATATTTTAGCTAAATTCATTACGAATGTGGAAAATGCAGCTGTTAGATACAAACCATATTTTAGTAAGATATGCGAGTGAAGAAGTAGCGACTCTGCAAGCAAACGAACCAAATGCACAGCCAGCTTTGTTAGTTGTTTATAACATGGTTACGGCAAAAATTTTAGCAGCGTACGACAATGCTTCGACTCAATTGTTAACTCAATTCGAAAATTTTAGCGACTTTTTTAGAAACGCCAGAATGAGCACGGATTGTCAATATATGTGTTCACCATCTAATAATATATATGCCAGGTATATAATACTGTTTTGTATTTCGATATTGATATACATATAAGCTATATTTATTTGACTGTCTAAGTCATTTTAATTATTCGTTTTTAGATTATTACAGCAGAGATTCAAGCAAACGATAATAAGTGCTAGATATGGAGGAGTTACCGAAGCCACAAAGAGACTGCTTGCACAGTTACCAATCTGCGCGCAGTCCTATTCTAGTTCTCCGTACCTCGATTTATCATTATTCTGTTATGACGATAAATGGGTGTCTATGATGGAACGCCCTAAAGCATGTGGGGAACATCCAATACGGTAAGCAACTTGTTCTCATTTTTATAACAAGATATTTTCGAAAGAACTAATAATTAAAACTGTTTTTTTTTCTATTTTTGTAGTTTTTATGCACGTGACTCAGGTCTTTTAAAATTTAGAATGTATGCTGGTATGCTAGGACGAACAGCACCAACAGCTGCAAGACGATTAGTCGCGTTCACGTTCCATCCAACGGATCCATTTGCGATTTCAGTGCAACGTACTAATGCAGAATATATTGTCAGTTTTCATGTTAGGCATGTCTAGATCTTCCTTTTCTTGATGCTTTATCAATGTAAAATGAATTTTTGTACATTTGACAAAAATTATTAAGATCTCTGCCATAAAGTACAAAACGAACTTTACTTTTTGGACAAAACTTACAATACGATTATATGAAGATAAATTGAAAGATTCATTCTTATCAATTTAACATTGTAAAAAAATACAATAGTTTAATATACTTTTAATACAATCAAAAATTGATAATTGATTTGAGACTAAAATGCGAGATGTTACTATCATAATCATAATGGTGCTTTCCATTTAGTAACAAGTCGATACAAGTATCATTTTATCTTTGTTAATCATTGAAAGCCAAGAAAGATAGAACGATACTTGTGTCGATTTCTGTCTACTAAATGGAAAGCACTTAATATAACTCATAACCATAAGAGAGAGTTAAGAAAAAAAAAAATTTGTTTAAACTCCATTTAATTGTACTTGAAAAAATGGATAAGCTAGAAATATATATATATATATATATATATATATATATATATATATTTATTTTTATTATT